GGTTAGACTAGAGACATAAACTAAATTCTTAATTGTGTAATTTTACATTCAAATTATCATGTAACAGAAAGGTCTTAGAAAGATCACTTAAAAATATTCATACCACTTCCTTCAATATACTTTTCAACCGAATAGTTTGAAATTATAAACATGCTAAATGGTAAACGTACAAATGCTTGGTTTAATAACATCACTTGCAAATCACTTTTCATCCTGACTGACTACTAAAGTACTGACTCCTTTCTGGTGTATCTTAATCACAATATACATGTAATTGTATTGATGACTATATAATTAAAAGTTATCACCATGCACGGCATGTAGTTATATTTGTGTAGACTAATCAACATATCACACTGCTTGACATGGAGTTGCATTTTTGTTATACAGGGTGACCGTTAAGTCTTAGGACGACTTTGTAACTTTTAAACGACAAACGATATCACAACCACATTTGGTATACCGTTACTGGAAATTGTAAGCTACTTTTCTGTGTACATGGTGGTCGGATATCACCTTTGGGGGACGGCCCGTCGGGGGTCAGAAGAAAATCTTTAATGACAGCCTATATTGAATTGTACATCATTTTAAAGGTCTACTTCAACTGAAAACAATGCCGCAAACCGCACTTCAAAAGGTTGATCCTGCGCAAAATGGCAGATGTTCAAAGATTTTCAAAATTAGCCAATTTCTTTAAATTAAAACACTTTTTTAAATCTTTAAACAACTGTCATTTTTTAACGGATGGTCCTTTTGAAGTACGGTTTGCGGCATTGTATTCTACTAATAAATACCTTTAATTTGATGTGCATATCGACCTATGCTTCCATTCAAGATTTACTTCCGACTCCTTGTGGGCCGTCGCCCTGAAGAGTTATTTGGATCCCTGAATGTGAAGTTATGGGGATCATTTTAAAGGGAATTCTAAGCAAAGAAGAATGCCGCAAACCGTACTTCAAAAGGACCATCCCTTAAAAAATGACAGTTGTTTAAAGATTTAAAAAAGTGTTTTAATTGAAATAAATTGGCTAATTTTGAAAATCTTTGCCATTTTGCGCAGGATCAACCTTTTGAAGTGCGGTTTGCGGCATTGTTTTCAGTTGAAGTAGACCTTTAAAATTATGTACAACTCAACATAGGCTGTCATTAAAGATTTTCTTCCGACCCCCGAGGGGCTGTCCCCCAAAGGTGATATCCGACCACCATGTACACAGAAAAGTAGCTTACAATTTCTAGTAACGGTATACCAAATGTGGTTGTGATATCGTTTGTCCTTTAAAAGTTATAAAGTCGTCCTAAGACTTAATGGTCACCCTGTATAACTCTAAAATAAAAAGTTATAACCATACACGGGATACTAGTTATACTGTCGAAGACTCATCGACATGAATGACATGTAGTTGTATTGTTGATAACTCTATAATGATGAGTTTTCACCACGTTCGACATGTAGTTATATTGTCGAAGCCTGACGGACTAGAATGTTGACTAGTTGACTGGAATGGCCAACTTAAATTTGGCAATCAAAGTTCCCTGATGGGGATAGACCTGTGATACATCAAGCAGTAGCTAAAGTAGGTATTTTTTTCAATAGTTTTTTTTATCTCAAAGAGTTTTTTTTTATTGCACCTTTAAGCTTCGAGTACAATTTTTCTTTAGAAAAGGAAATATTCTCATCATGGCATACGTACAAAAAGTGTAACTGTCTCTTGTATGGCTGCAGCAGAGCAAAAGATTCATATGAATAACGTTAGTCAAGTGCAACTCTGCTACTGCTACTGCCAAGTTTGTGTTAATGATGTTATATTCTGATCTCTTCTACAACCTCAAGCCGTAGTTGCTTCAAAATTATGCGACTTGTTTCATAACATAGTTGCTAGACACTTCCAACTTCATGAATGCGGTTAGGTACACATCATGTAACTGGTACTTATCTGTATCAGTCTGGTACCTGTTGTCACAGTTGAAAAAGACGCATCACATATGCACCAGAACTTATATTGTGTAATTTGCTCATACAATAGTTAATGGTAAATTAATAATTCAACTTGTATATTACATACTACAAACATTTTTAGTAATGTCAAACATTCTGCCAAATATTTCTGAAAGTATAGCATTTGCGTGAGAATAAAAAATTATATCAATTGTTAATATTATATTACCTACATCTATAAAAACCTTAACCACGGATATATAATTTTTATTTCAATAGATTACACGCTCAAAAAAATTAAAGGTTTTATTTAGAACGCTTGTACGATAATAATAATTGAATTAACACACTATGTGGTCAATCATTATGGCTGAAGTCCAACACTATTTTTATTCTTTATTGTAACGCTAGACATTGAATACTAACTAAGGATTTTTAATTTTGAAATAAGAACTTGAGAACACTATATTTTTAGGTTACTTGCTTGTTTTTAACTTATAAAAAGAAAACGTATTTTCAATTGAAAATTATTTTATTTGCCGAGTTGTTTATGATCTAGTAAAACTCTTGAAACTAAATGCAAAGTATAATTAATTCATTAAGAATTTTCAAATTGAAGTAAAGCTAAAAGTTTTTTTCCTTTTAATTTTGGATTTAAAAGTCTTACTTTGAATAATTAGTAAAATGTTTTCGTCTCGATTGAGGGTAAGAAATAACTTTGTTTACGGTTTATTCCATAAACTTAAAAGAATAATGAAAGATAATCACTGGTCAATTATGAACTACGAACTTATGAAGCGAAAGAGCATTTTAAACTAATTATCAAGTACTATTAATTATAAATCCTACTTCATTTAATATAAATCACATAACGGTTTTACAAGCTAATTTGAAATGTTCTGAGAATACATGAATGGAGTAATTAACAAACATAAACTTTCCTGCACAGTTTCCTGATTTCAGTTAAATTTTCTACTGATTAACCCCAATCTGACACTCGCTTCAAAAGTTAGGCAAACTTTTATACATGCATATTTTATGGTTCTGAGATAATAATATTACGTTTTAACCTTAATACATGTGCATGGGTGCTCTAGTGAATAGAGCACCGTGCACAGAAAAAATAGTATTAGGGCCTACCACAGACAATAGACTAGACCATCAAATGGTCAATGGTCTGTTTTCTGTGATATTGCTCCATATATCGTTACGGAATAATAGAGGAAGAATAATGAATATTTAGCGTAAATATAATACCATTCTAAACCTAAATGTATATTTAACTAGCTGTAACCCGCGGGCTTTGCCCCGTTTAACTTCTTAATTTTCAAGATTATCTCGTTCGCATGGCTCAATCACGTCCTGGTTGAAGTTTGTTCGCTACGCTCGCTCACCTTTAGGTTGGAGCTCGTTCGCTACGCTCACTCACCTTTAGGTTGGAGCTCAAAGAAAGTACCTCCCAGTTATGTTAACTTTTAGTATCTTGTAAACTAGTAAATACTCCAAAATTGTAAAGACGGCACCATCAGTCCCCTACGTTTAACTCTGCAAAGCAAGCTGTTTTATTTGGGTGAATGTAAACGGAAGTGTTTTATTTTGTTTAATGAGTAACGTACCACATAACACTTATCTGTGTCATAAAGTCATCGCAAATACACGAAAACACACAAACAGTTTTCTCAAATCAAAATCGAAATTACAGACCATTTAATATAAGATAGAACACATTTTCTTAGATAATAGAAAAATATAAATATAGAACAAGTGTTCAATGGATATTTCATTATTAGAGACCCAATGATTTCCCAGACATTATTGGTATGGGATCTTTGCTCTGACAAAAGTACACGGAAGTGTTTTCTTTTGCATAAAGAGTTACTTAGCTACACGATCATGATGAGTATCTGAAAAGGCTAGTAGATGTCTTTAATGAGTCACATTAACGTACCATTTCCTACACTAAACCAAGCAACTCTCACATCAAGCAGGATTGCTGTGACGAGGGTACACGGAAGTGTTTTGTGTGGTTTGAAGTGTGACGTAGCTACGTGGTTATGGAGAGTATCTGTAAGCTAGTGGATGACTTTAGCAAATCTCATTAACATCACATTCCCTACGCGTTTGATATAATGTGACGTGCAATTAGACGTTTACAATTCCATTGTATCGAAATTGTGCTGCACATGTTGTACTAGCATCACATATTGTCACGATAAGTGATGGAACTTTGAATAATTGTCGTGGAAAATTACGCTACTCCAGGGAAATAACTATATAAATTTTTCCCTCTTTTGTAACTAAATTATAGTTTGCTGCTTAAAAAATCTATTTAAATTTTAGAACCCATCATAAAGATACGCAGAGAAAACTCTATGGAAAAGTATTAAACTGTTTTAATTTTCTTTCAAAACTATTTGAGAAGCTCTTTTCAAATGTTTTGATACATTACTACACTACTGAATTAGATCAGTTTATGTTATTTTGTGTAGATATAAATAATGTTTTTTTATGAAGTAGTTCTACTTAATCTCGTCAAATCAGCTAACACGTTTTAGGTATGATAAAATGATCAAACTTCTAGCCAGGGCATTCTAAAACATATATTTCAAACCACAATCTTATCAGACTATGCATAGATTTTCTAGAAAAATGATTCTTCTGGTTATATCAAGGTACTTGTCAGCAGAATTCTCATTCTCCCACGGTTTGACATGTTTTGCTTAGTTTTTTTATACTTCTTACTTTCTAAGCAGCTAAACTACCTGTAATTTAAAATTAAATACATGCAATATACATTGAACCAAACCTTAATAAGCCACTCAAATGTGTATAAAGAAGGGCGAATTATTTTTTGTGCTGCAAGTTGGTTGTAATTCGTTCGTAACAGTCTTAACCGTTGCGGCTTGGTGTAAAACTCAAGAAAACAATACGCTGCTCTTATAATGTCTTAGAAAATACGGCCATTGAAGTAGTCTAAAAGGCTTGTGAAACGATATTGACTTTATTGTTAACTAAAGGGGAAAAAGACTAAAGTTCAACATAGGAATCACAGGATCTTAAAAGAATGGCAAAGGAGGAAGACCTACTTGTGAAAAGTAGGTATATAAAAGAAGAGGTTTTAACTAAAAAAAATTATTAGGGAAAAACTTCTGAAAATAAAAAAATTTCTCTGTTTCTTCTTGTTTTTACTAATAGCCCAAGGGTGACTGATAAGAAAATAAAATGGCCTGATCCTAAAACGTAAACATTAGGATTGACGTAATCTTTGAGAAAACTTCTTGTTTCTTGTTTGTATAGTTTTCATGAGTCAATTTTGTATTTGCAATTCATTTTAGATTGATAAGTTAATAAACATAGTTTTAAAACGATAAGCAAACGTATTTTTGTGAGAAAAACTGTCTAGAACTCTTTATGGATTTTCCACAAGATTTCTATTAATATCCATTTGCTCTTAGCAATATATTCGTAATTACTTAACTGAAGTGAATTTTTTTATTTACTGAATTTACTTTTTTAAAGAGACGGACAAATTGACTGGATTGACACTATCATTTTTTCAAGAATTTTGCATTTATAATTTCATTTTATAAACAGATATATTTTTTCGATTAGTAAACTTTCATTAGATTTTTATCTTATATCTTTTTATATTATCAGCAAGTTTGGTTAGTTAGGTTAGGTTATATTTTTTCTTAAATCGCCGCGAGGGGCTCTCCCACAATCCCCCACTCCTTCGGAGAAGGGGTTCTCATCGGTTTTGTCCAGCCCCCTGATACGCCAGTTAAATTTTTGTTAGTAAAAATAATTGACGTAATCTTTGAGAAAACGTCAAAGACGTAACCGACCATGTACCTATTAGTTCTAGTGACCCTTCACTGTTACCCTCAAATTCCAAACCCAAGGTACAGAAAACAGTAAGGACCAAAAAACCTGCAACTAATCCTGCTACCAAACCAGACCCAGCTACCAAACCAAACCCAGCACCCAGACCAAACCCAGCTCCCAAACCAAACCCAACTACCAAACCAAATCCAACTACCAAACCAAACCCAGCTCCCAGACCAGACCCAGCTACCAAACCAAACCCAACTACCAAACCAAACCCAGCTCCCAGACCAGACCCAGCTACCAAACCAAACCCAACGACCAAACCAAACCCAGCTCCCAGACCAAACCCAGCAACCAAACCGAACACAGCTAGGAAACCAAACCAAGCTCCCAGACCTAATCCAGTAACCACTAAGGTAACGTCCACAAGCAGTAACCTAAAAGACAAAGCCAAAATGTTAATCCTATCTGACAGCCATGGTCGACATCTAAGTTCCCTTTTACTTGATAAATGCTCAAATAAGTACAATGTTTCGGGGTTTGTTAATCCGAATGCAAAACTATCCCAAGTAGTCTCAAACTTAGGTAGTAAAATTAAACTGATGAGCAAACGTGATTATTTGATTGTATACGCCGGTACAAATGATGTTGATCAGGGAGATTGTAAATCTACACTTATAAGCTCCTTCAATGAATTAGTAAATGAAACAAAACATACTAATCTTATTGTATTAGGTATTCCATATAGGTTTGATAAGAAATCATTGAATGGTAACATTTTGGAAATGAATCGCCTTATGTATAATTGTATCTCATCTCATAACCATGCTTACTTTTTGTCACTCCACCATGTTTTCAAACAAAAGTTTTACACTAAATTTGGCCTCCACCTCAACCTTTTGGGTAAAAGACTAATATCTAAATATATATTGGATCTGATAAATCTAATAACCAGCCCGACACAAACAAGTGTCATAAACCACATCCCTGTCCATATCACCGGTCTTGAGGACTGTCCTTCTGGTAGAGTAGTTCAATCCCCAACACCACTAGAAGTTTCTAATTCCTGTCACTCCCAATGTAGTGATCCTATTGTTTCTTCTAGCTCAATTCCTTTTTTAGGAACTCCTCAACTGATTCAGGCCATCACGTAACATCTTCTATCAATCTTAAAAAGTCTTTTAGTATTTTCCATCAGAATGTCCGAGGCTTATTGTCCAAATCCAGCCAGATAGAAATTATCTTAGATCTGTATTCACCAGATGTTTTGTGTTTGTCAGAACATTTCCTCCGTCGATCTGAGTTGGAGGCTTTTCGAATGCCAGGCTACACACTAGCAGCTAGCTATTGCCGCACCCAAGTAGAAAAAGGAGGAGTATGCATATTTACACCTGATCACATAAATTATACTGTGGTAGATGTGTCTGACTTTTGTATTGAAAGTGTATGCGAGCTTGCTGCAATTAAAGTAACAAATGGGTCTCTGAATACAATCTTTGTATGCGTGTACAGATCTCCAAGCAATATACAAAGTAACATACAGAAATTCTTGAGTACTATTCAAGCATGTTTTGACTCATTGAAAGCTAAAAACTTATCTTTCGTGGTTGCAGGTTATTTTAATATTGACTTGACTGATAGAGACGGCCCCTCTGCAAAACTAGTCATAGACCTGATGTTATCATTTGGTCTTCGAGACACAATTAAGACCTTTACGAGAGAGTTTCAAGGTTCCAGAACTATTATTGACAATATATTTACAGACATCCCTGAGCATTTATTCTATTCTTCTGTTCTTATAACTAGTATCTCAGACCACCATGCCCAACTAAGTGAAATAAAAGGACATTCAGAGAGCAATACTATAATTAAGTATAAAATGACAAGGAATTTTAATGATCAAAACATATCTACATTCAAGTATTTATTAAGGAAAGAGAAATGGCTAGACTTATTCGAAATCGAATCCGTAGACGGAAAATTCAACCATTTCCTATCCACAATACAATTCTATTTAGATGTTGCACTACCACTAAAGAAATGTAAACAAAAGGAAAGAAAGTCCAAAACCAAAATATGTCTAGATTCAGATTTGAATGAGTTAAGAGAAAAAATGATTTTCCTTTACACCCTGTCTAAAGATCTCAATATTACACACCCAATTAAACAATCATACCTAAGCACTAAAAAGGTTTTTAAGAGTCAAATAAGTTCGAAGAAAGCAGAGTTAATATTTAAGAAGATAAATAACAGTAGCAATGTACAAAAAGAGGTTTGGAGCATAATAAATGACCTTAAACCAGATAAATTGAAGAGACCGTTTAGTAAATTATCAGTGTTTGATTCAGAAGGGAAATTGCTGGATACTCCGGATTTAGTTTCAAATACAATGAATGAGTTCTTTACTAACATTGGAAGAAAACTACCTAAAAACATGCAAACGCAAGATGTACATAGAAGTAAAGATAGTAATATGATCCAACCATCACTATTTCTTACTCCAACTAATGCAAATGAAGTAATAGATATCATTCGATCCCTAAAACCTGGAAACTCCTCTGGAAGGGATGAAATATCATCAAAAACTTTAAAGAAATGTGCTGAAGAACTTGCCGCTCCCTTAGCCTATCTAATTAATTGTTCATTCCAGAGTGGAACATTTCCTGCAGTACTAAAGCTTTCAATAGTCAAGCCAATATATAAGAAAAAAGGAAACCGGCACGATTGCAATAACTTCAGGCCAATCTCTATATTATCGACATTTTCTAAAGTAACAGAGAAGATCTTCTTAGCTAGATTAAATCAATTCTTAGATAAAAATAAGATTATCAACAAAAATCAGTTCGGGTTCCGTTCAGGTTACTCCACCCTAAATGCTGTGTTCAGCCTGGTTACAGAGGTTTCCAACTCTCTCGACGCAAAGAATCATGTCTCCGGTTTGTTCCTTGACCTTACCAAAGCTTTTGATGTCGTTGACCACAACCTACTTCTAAATAAGCTTGAAATATTGGGTATCCGTGGAGTGGCTATGGATTGGATGTCTTCTTATGTTAAAGGACGGAGGCAAGTTGTAGAAGTCCCTTACATTGATTCCTCAGGCTGTTTGTGTAGTAGGATATCTGATGAGCGTACTGTACAGGTGTGCCTCAGGGGTCCGTTCTTGGGCCCGTCCTTTTCTTAATGTTCATCAATGATCTGCCTCCTGTTGTGTCAAATTCAAAGTTACATCTGTTTGCTGATGATACTTCCCTCGTTGTCTCCAGTCAAAATCATGCACAGCTAGAAATCCAAACATTTATTGAGAGTAGTTTTGTTTTCCAATGGCTATACGAGAACTCTCTACATGTTAATCCTCAGAAAACATCACTTTTAGAATTTCGTATACGGCAGAATTCGTCTAACCCATCTGAATCTTTAAATTTACCTGTCGACAACATCAACATTGTTTCTTCTTCTAGTGTAACATATTTAGGAGTAGTCATTGACAGCAATCTGAAATTTTCCAGTCACATCGACAAAATTCACAATAGACTTAGTACTAGTGCTTTCCTTCTTCGTAGGCTCTCCTGTTATCAAGAAAGACGCATCCTTCTGACAGCTTATTACGGTCTTGTTTATCCCTTTCTTACATATTGTGTGCCCGTTTGGGGTAACGACAAACTTCAGACTAAGAAAATATTCAAACTGCAAAAAAGAGCCATCAGATTAATCTTCAACCTAAAATATAGAGAGTCTTGTAGATCTGTCTTTCGTACAAATAATATGCTGACCTTCCCATCAATTTTCATTTTTGAATCTTTGACCTTCTTAAGAAAAAATTTGACAATGTTTCATATTAGAGGGTCATCTCACCACAGCTACAATCTCAGGAGGAACTTTAACCTACATATTCCACTATCTCGTACCACTTTCCATAAAAATCAATCATTCTCCATGTGTATCCGTCTTTTTAATTCTCTTCCTAACTCAATCAAGGGCGAACATGATTTAAAAAAATTTAAGCGTGGTCTGAGGGAATATCTAGTTGATAAGGAATTTTACAGTGTTTCTTCGTTTTTAAATTGTAAATAGTTTGTACCTTTTGAAGTTTGTATCTTATTTTAATGGGTCTGATTTTATTTGTTTAGTTTTAGTGACTTTTGCCCTGTACATTTATGTATTATTATGGCAATAAAAAAATTCTGATTCTGATTCTGATTCTCTTGTATGAGCGCAAAACTTTCTTGTAACTCGAGTTGAAAACCCCCTATATGCTATTGTGTTTTGAAATAACGTTGAGTTGTCCTTGGTGAAAATAGATAGGTTTCCCAAGTATGGAGGTCTTCTCTCTTCTTGGGTTACTTATAATATGACAATCCATACGAGAACCTTTTTTAAATAGCTTAATCAACAGTAATCCTAAGAAATAACCTGCAAAGTGTTACACAAATAACAAGATTTTGGACATGTATTAATTTGTATTTTTACTCTACAGTATATACATGGTATTAAATTTTGTTTACTGAGAATTACTTTACTTATTAAATGTATTTATAAATGTATTTATATAATTAGCGAATTTCCCTATAGGGAAGTAGCTATTACCGTAGGTCTCATGGTAAGACTTAGGCCCGGGACCGATTTACTTTTTCATTTTGATGTCCACTGAGGCCAAAAACACCACTCGTTCAAATTTTTATATATGTATATATATATATGTGTCCGTGAACACGATAACTTGAGTAATTTTTATCCGATTTTGATGAAATTTGGTTTGAAGGTGTAAGGCGGGATAATCTTGAATGAGTTTGTGATCCAGCATGATCGAACCATGGGAACAGGGTTTTATGGGGTAAAAATTGGTTTTTCTCACTTTTGACCCTCAAAACACAAAATTTCCCAATTTTTCTCTAAACCTTCTTAAAGAGCTTAAAAAAACAAACAATTCAGTATATCAAAGTGTTTTTGTACGGTTATTGGTTACGGAGAAAACTAAAAAAATGGTAAATTTAAAATTCCCATGTTATTCTTACGGAGAATATTGTAAAATATCGTAGTTTGCTTGTTTATGGATATCTTTTGATCAAACTTTGGCAAATATATTCATTTTATACTAAGCAATAATTATTTTACTTAAAACACACACTTTATTAGTTTCCTTGTAGCAGCAAACCTAGGTACTCGTTAAACCTAATGTTATTTAAATAGATCAATTGAAAATCAATTCAGCCAAATGGAAATTCGCTTAGGCGTCAGGTTTGCTGCGGCGGGGGTATTTTATATATTTATTTTTTATTTATAAGTGAATATTGACTGCAGTTGTACTTATAGAAACTGCTCGGACGGTACCAGACTACAGTCAAAGTACCAGACTGCCGGTAGCCAATAAGGAACGTCATATTGAGATTCTTGTCATTCGCCTATTGGGTCTAATGATGATTTGAGTGTCCAATCGAAATCGATCATTACTTACCAACTTGTATATGTATTTACCATCTCGTTAGTAAATAGTATAAGCGTAAATAGTTTCATTACAAGTGTTATTTGACGTATGTTTGTATTTTCTGAATAAAAAACTGTATAGTTAAAAACCTGAGGAAAGCCTCCGCATAGACCAACAAGTGTCAGTGCTGTAACAATAAGCTGTATTTCCCCAGAGAATTGAAAGTATCACATGTGTTGACGTTACCTTGTTACAATGGACTTTGGTCGTAGCAATGTTCGATATCTCCTTTATTCGTATTTATAATAGTGTATTGTATTGAAATAACGTAAATGACATGTATCGTTTGCAATTTGTTCAGTAATGTATTTAAATTTAAAATCACTTTTTTTTAGAGTATGTGTTCCAGTATGTTACAATTTTGCTCGAAGAATAGTATTAATTTATTTTCATGGATACGTTCAAGAAATTAATATGTAACTACAGTGTTTAGTGTGTTATGATTTCCAAAAGGTTATTTGCTTTCAGTATTCGTTGCCCTTATTAGTTATTTAGCCAAAATTATCTTCGTAGACAGTTTTATTGTACCAATATTACTTGATTAAAATCAAGTTTCAGGAAATCTCATCCTTGAATGATTGAGATTTTAAAAATATTTGTAATATCTTTATTTGGAACTCATTCTGTGGACAGTTTCTTAAGATACACTTTAATACAGACTGTAGATTTGTGGGATGAATTGAGTACTGACTAATATTAGTAGTTTCATTGACCAGGGGAAAGATCAATTATTGAAAGCTCTATAATTGGGAGCTTCTAGGTCTAGACAATTAAAAATAATTAATTACACATATTTAGGGAATATAAATACATCTTTGTTTAAAGTAGATGTTTGTGTAGTTATAATTCATGGTGATTTATTAGTGTAGAATCAACAGTCACTTCCATATAAAACCCTTCCTTATTACATTCTAGAAATATATAGGTTATAGGTTTTACTGAAAAAATCATGGTTTCAATTTAATAGTTTATAGATTCAGTCATATTATTGATTATTACTACAACTATTTTAATCATACAAAAAAGAGCAAACCCATTTTTTATACGTTTTACCTATCTAAAGCTAAAGGAACATGTTAGAACGATAATAATTATACCCACTCTTTGCGTAGTGCATATATACATTATAAATATCTGTGTAACGAAAATAGATTATGCAATCCTGGTACGAAAATAAAATTTCTTCTCAATGTGAAAAAGAAAAAGAGAGCGGAGAAATAGTGAAACTCCAAAACAAATACTTGGAAGAAGGAACGTTACCATAACGGTAAGGACTGTGGCAGCAGAATCTTATTTTTTGGGTCTTACTGTTTCATTATTACTTTCAGACTGAGACCGAAAAGTTCAAGACTTTCCACAAGAGAGTTTTACTGTAAAAATGGAATTTATAGGTTGAAGTTTGTAAATCGAAGAATCTATACTTATAAAAGGCAAAGCCCTCACTGACACACTAACTCACTCATCGCTAATTCTCCCACTTCCCATTTACCTAGGAGGCTGAAATTCGGTACACCGATTCTTTGGGCATTAAATGGGAAAACGAAGTAGTTTTTATTCTGATCGGGCATGCGGGCTCCGCCCCATGCTTTGGAGTTTCCCATGTTAACCTTATGATTTTTCATATTTAAAAAGAAATTAATGAATCTTAACAGCTGTTTCAATTAAACAAGTCGGTTCTGTTCTATGATGTTCAATAGCACATGGCTTAAACCGATTTTATGAATTGGGCAACCTTGAGGTAGTTATGGTAAAATAAATACTGTACTAATACTGTATATTGTATAGGTTCAAATAAAGTGTATATGGTGTAATGGTCATGGGGGAAATAAAACCTGAAAATCAAATCCCTAACTGCCTGCCTCTGATGAATTTTAAAATAATTTTCCATTAAAGACTAAACTATTATTTTGTTGGCTATTTATGATTAAGCTTTTTTTTAAATGACACACATATTTATATTATAACACATCTGCATTGAAATTATTAAGAGATAAGCCAAAACTATTAAAATAAAGGAAAACTCATTGGTATACAAGTTTTATTTTGTCTTAAATACATGTTTTGTTATAATTACTAAGAAAATATCGTTATTAGTATATGAACTATGTATCTTGATATTAGATTATTAAATATTATTGCATGTATTATTGATTTTAAGCTTTTTTATTATTATTTTTTTAGTGAGACTGAATAAGTGTATCATGTGAGCTAGAACATATATTTGGAGACTCAATTAACAAATCAATCTAGCCATCACAAAGAAATAATTTTGTTTATCAAATTGTGAACTTTTTGTGAAATTAAATAAATAATTAGTAAATATTAGAATTTCGCTCTGATGGGTAAAACAGTAAAACACAATGATGGTGTTTTTTAATACCAAAGATTACCCAAAATATTTTATTTTTTTACTCATTATACATTAGCACAGTAATTAATCTACTAACAGTAAACGTTTAGTTGATCAATTAAGATTAATGGATTGAAAGTGAGACTAACACGTGGTTTAGGGTTAATGTTTAAGTTAATTAAGAATGACAAAGCTTGTGAGAGATTTGAAATTCTACTAACAACTGCCTTTTCCCACAGCTTCATTTTAGTGACAATCAACAGAACTTGTATACGGGCTTTTGTGTTTCATTCAAATACAATATAAAATTGTCATGGTGAAAAAAACTAATTCTTCTATAAAATTAAAA